CCAGGCCCTGAGGCAGCAAAGCAGCCCCAAACCATGATGCTCCCTCCGCCATGTTTCACAGTGGGGATGAGGTTTTGATGTTGGTGTGCTGGGCCTTTTTTTCTCCACACATAGTGTTGTGTGTTCTTCCCAAACAACTCAATCTTGGTTTCATCTGTCCACAGGATATTTTGCCAGTAGTGCTGTGGAACATCCAGGTGCGCTTTTGCAAACTTCAAACGTGCTGCAATCTTCTTTGTGGACAGCAATGACTTCCTCCGTGGTGTCCTCCCATGTACTCCATTCTTGTTTAATGTTTTCCATCTTGTAGATGTGTCAACAAAAATGTTAGCATGTGCCAGAGATTTCTGTAGGTCTTTAGCTGACACTCTGGGATTCTTCTTTACCTCATGCAGCATTCTGCGCTGTGCTCTTGCAGTCATTTTTACAGGATGACCACGCCTAGGGAGAGTAGCAACAGTGCTAAACTTTCTCCATTTGTAGACAGTCTGTCTTACCGTGGACACATGAACATCAAGGCTTTTGGAGATACTTTTATAACCCTTTCCAGCTTCATGCAAGTCAACAATTCTTGATCGTAGGTCTTCTGAGAACTCTTTTCTGCGAGGCATGGTTCACATCAGACAGTGCTTCTTGAAACCAGTAAACCCAAAACAGGTGTGTGTTTTTTAAGGGCAGGACAGCTGTCAGTAACACATCCAATATCATCACACTGATTGGAGTCAAGGTTGGCTCACTCCTGGCTCCAATTAGCTCTGGGAGAAGTCATTAAGCTAGGGCCTCACATACTTTTTCCTCCCTGCACTGTGAATGTTTACATGTTATGTGCAATTAAACCATGGCAACATCTAATGTTTGTGTAGATTTATGTTCAGCAGACTGTGTTCTTCTATTGTTGTGACTTAGATGACGTTCAGAGCACATTTTATGCCCAATTCATGCAAAACTCCTCGTAATCCCAAGGGGTTCACATACTTTTTCTTGCAACTGTATATATAGTATACAGTCCAGGGGAGGGGGGACTCACTTCTGGGAGATACTGTATAGGTCCTTGCCTCCCGGGTTTTGGCACGCATTTTGCAAAGTGGCTAGAGTAGGCGAATGAGCCCCCAACTGTCAGGTCAAGCAACAGGGAAAGGTTCCAGACGAATAGGGACAGGCCAGGGACTCACAATTCTGTACTGTAGGCCCCCCTTTGGGACCGGACCTGTCAGTCCACATTCCGCCCTCTAAAGACAGATGCTGTCGGGGCACCTTTACTCGCTGCATCTCTGCCAAGAATTGAACTGTGAGAGTTACCCTTAACAGCGTTCTACAATGGGGTTGTCTGTGGTTGGAATTCTCTGCAATACAAGTTCTGAGTTTAACTGCAACCAAACTCTGTGTCTTTACTCCTGCTGCACCCACCCACACCCCCACTGTGCGCAAATCTGAAAATTGTACGCAGGGGGACTGACAACTCATGGGGCCCCTGGGCAATAAGGGATCATGGGGCCCCTGTGTCCTTGCCCAAACTAAAAAAAACCTATGAAAAAGGTACCAGGGGCATCTCATGGGCCCCCTACTGTCCCCGGGCCCTCGGGCAGTGCCCGAGTTTCCAAATGGTCAGTCCGCCCCTGGTTTTACGTCAACTGCCAGATGGAAGCGATTTGGTGGTTGTGAAGCCCCTGGATCACTTTCAGACAACCTGGTAATTGCCAGTCTTCCTGCCCCCACGCACACCCCCAGTGGTGTATTAGTTTTCTGCTGCCCAAGGCAAGGCTAAAATTGGGCACCCCCATCTAAATTTGTCCCACCCTTTGCTGTTTAAGATTCATCCCTTCATCTGTAACCCCACCCCTTCCTCTTTAGGTCACTCCTCTTCCTAGTAGAGCTTTGTCTCAGGAGTCACAGACTGTGGACATGACACAGGAGATGATCAGAGACTGCGGACATGCTACAGGAGATGATCAGAGACTGCGGACATGCTACAGGAGATGATCAGAGACTGCGGACATGCTACAGGAGATGATCAGAGACTGGAGATATAATACAGGAGATGACCAGAGACTGCAGATATAATACAGGAGATGATCAGAGACTGCAGACACAGTACAGGAGATGATCAGAGACTGCGGACATGCTACAGGAGATGATCAGAGACTGCGGACATGCTACAGGAGATGATCAGAGACTGCGGGCATAATACAGGAGATGATCAGAGACTGTGGACATGATAAAGGAGATAGGTCACTGACTGCAGACAGGATACAGGAGAAGGTCAGAGACTGCAGACGTAATACAGGAGATGATCAGAGACTGCAAACATGTTACAGGAGACAGAGACTGCGGACATACTACAGGAGACGGTCAGAGACTGCAGACAGGATACAGGAGAAGGTCAGAGACTGCACACATGTTACAGGAGACGTTCAGAGACTGTGGGCATAATACAGGAGACGGTCAGAAACTGCAGACATACTACAGGAGACGGTCAGAGACTGCAGACAGGATACAGAAGGTCAGAGAATGCAGACATGCTACAGGAGATGGTTAGAGACTGCAAACATGTTACAGGAGACATTCAGAGACTGCGGACATAATACAGGAGAAGGTCAGAGACTGCAGACATAATACAGGAGATGATCAGAGACTGCGGACATGATACAAGAGATGGTCAGAGACTGCAGACATACTACAGGAGACGGTCAGAGACTGCAGACATGCTACAGGAGATGATCAGAGACTGCAAACATGTTACAAGAGACATTCAGAGACTGCGGACATAATACAGGAGAAGGTCAAAGACTGCGGACATGATACAAGAGATGGTCAGAGACTGCAGACATGATACAAGAGATGGTCAGAGACTGCAGACATACTGCAGAAGATGGTCAGAGACTGCAGAAGTAATGAAGGAGCTAAACAGTTGAGCCCAAGTCCTGCCTGAGGACAACCTAAACCGCCCCCCACCCATGCTCCGCCAAGACCCCCTTCCCCCCGCCCGGGCACAGCCGAGCCCACCTGAAGACAGTTGAACCTGCCCCCCACCCGAGCACAGCTGAGACCGATGCCCCCTCTGCCCGAGCACAGCCGAGCTCGCTTGATCACAGCCTAGGCCGCCCCCCTCTTGCTCAAGCACAGTCTAGCTGAAACTTTCCTCCCCGCCGGAGCCAAGCCGAGCCCCGCCCGCACCCGATACACTCCATCCCTAGCAGGGGAACAGTTGACCCCCCTACAGCGACGCCACTGGTCCCTTCTGCCTGGGGGGTGGCCCCCCCCCCCCCCCCCCCGAAAAAATGCCTCCCAAGGCTAACGCCTTTTTTGCCTCATAGCAGATATGTACCTGCACACCCCTGCAAGGTTTCTCATTGGTCGACTTGAGACCGGCCTGGTGGATTCCACAGAGAAGAAAGGAGTGTTCTTCCCTCTGGGTCCTGGTATCTGGGACCTTGTAGATACTACAAGACTTGGCAGGGAGCAGCATTATGTCTGCACATGTGCATTTGCTGATCTCCCTTACCTAGTAACAACCCAGAGACGACATGTTCCATCACTTCTGTGTTTAGCTGTCATTTTCCCTGGCCAATGTGACCGGAGAAGAAGATAATTAAACACGATCTCTACTCCATTAGCTTCATTGGAGAGTAAATGAGACTTCAGAGATCTAATAGACCCCTAATGTCTCCAAAAAGAGAACCCATCACAACAAAGTTGTATCACATAGGGGCTTTTGAGGGATTCCCATTCATGTGTTCTTGCCTCTAGGTCCTGATATCTGGGACCTTGTAGATACCTGCACCATGTGTGCATATACATGGGATCTCTGCAATGCCCAGGCTTTCTGCAAGGTCTCTGCCAGTTGCCAAAGACTTGGCAGGAAGCAGCATTATGTCTGCACATGTCCATTTGCTGATCTCCATAACCTAGTAAGAACCCAGAGACGACATCTTCCATCATTTCTGGGTTCAGCTGTCTCTTTCCTTGGCCAGAAAAGAAGCTAATAAAGCATGATCTGTGCTCCATTAGCTTCATTGAAGAGCAGCTGAAACATCAGGGGTCTAATAGACCCCTGATGTCTCGAAAAAGAGAACCCATTGTGACGGGAGTCACTTTGGGTGGGGTGTATGTGTTTGTGTATTGGCTTGGTGGGGGGTGTCTCCAGCAGCCCTCCCTCCTGATGTGACTGTCTGCTGGTGTGTCTCTTGTTACTAAATGTAGATTTCCCCGCCCTGTGTCATCATTATGGGGGGGGGGGGGGTTGAATTTGTATATCTTGTATCTGTGTTAAAATAAAGTAGTCTATTTCCTGATTTACTTCAAGACTGGTCTCATCTAGTCTTGTATGGTCAGCGGTGGTGTCCGGGGTCGGTGTTCGGACTGGGAAGCGGTATTATAACGGAAATACCCAAACGCAGACTGGGACGGTTCCGTTACACCCATCATAACAAAATGTTATCACCTAGGGGCTTTTGAGAGATTCCCAAGCATGCATACTTGCCAGTGGGTCCTGGTATCTGGGACCTTGTAGACACCTGCACCATGTGTGTACATGTACGGGATCCCAAATACCTGACCAGTTGCCAAGGACCTGCCAGAAAGAAGCGTCATGTCTGCACATGTGCAAAATCGTGCTGTGTGCTTGTGCCCCTCAGCAAAACACTGAAGCAGTGGGGGGGTGCTCTACGTCATTCTTGGCTAGGCAAGAAAGCAGGAAGTGCTAGGAAAAGGTTCTCCAAGGATGGGGAGGAACCAGGAGAGAAAAAGGTATTCTCACAGGCAAGGGTTCCCTTAATATCAACATTCAGGCAGAATTCAGTGATTTCTGTGCTATCACATATATTTCCTGATATGAATAGTCCATAGTTCCGTATGAAGGCCTTCGTATTGCATACAACTTGGACGCAGTGTTCCAGAATATGATGTTCTAGTTTCTGGTTGACAAAGTAGGTCAGTATTCCAGGGACCTGGACTTGCAGTCATATGACATCATAAGTTACGTTGCTTTAAATATTTTATAGGGCCGCCAAGCCTAAGTATCCAGGCCAAGTGCCATCCCTGCCTGTCCAGTCCATGCCGGAACCAAGGCGTCTGTCAGAACGATCCCGTGGAGTACTACAAATGTATCTGTCCACCTGGATACAAGGTAAGGTCCATACTGGAGCAAGGTTCGTGTTCAAAGAGAGATTTTATGGGTTTTTGTGTGAATAGTATTGGCCTATTGTCAAGGACGTCCATTATTAAAGGCAGTCCATTATTAAAGGAAGTCCATTATTAGAAGCAGTCCATTATTAAAGGAAGTCGGTTATTAAAAGCAGTTCATTATTAAAGGAAATCCATTATTAGAAGCAGTTCATTATTAAAGGAAGTCCGTTATTAAAGAAAGTCCGTTATTAAAGGAAGTCCGTTATTAAAGGAAGTCCGTTATTAAAGGAAGTCCATTATTAGAAGCAGTCCATTATTAAAGGAAGTCCGTTATTAAAGGCAGTCCGTTATTAAAGGAAATCCATTATTAAAAGCAGTCCATTATTAAAGGAAGTCCGTTATTAAAGGAAGTCCGTTATTAAAGAAAGTCCGTTATTAAAGAAAGTCCATTATTAAAGGAAGTCCATTATTAAGGAAATCCATTATTAAAGGAAGTCCATTATTAAGGAAATCCATTATTAGAAGCAGTCCATTATTAGAAGCAGTCCATTATTAAAAGCAGTCCATTATTAAAGGAAGTCCGTTATTAAATGAAGTCTATTATTAAAGGAAGTCCGTTATGAAAGGAAGTCCATTATTAAAGGAAGTCCATTATTAAAGGAAGTCCGTTATTAAAGAAAGTCCGTTATTAAAGGCAGTCCATTATTAAAGGAAATCCATTATTAAAGGAAATCCATTATTAAAGGAAGTCCGTTATGAAAGGAAGTCGGTTATTAAAGGAAGTCCATTATGAAAGGAAGTCCATTATTAAAGGAAGTCCGTTATTAAAGGAAGTCCATTATTAAAAGCAGTTCGTTATTAAAGGAAGTCCGTTATTAAAGGAAGTCCGTTATTAAAGGAAGTCCGTTATTAAAGGAAGTCCGTTATTAAAGGAAGTCCATTATTAAAGGAAGTCCGTTATTAAAGGAAGTCCATTATTAAAGGAAGTCTGTTATTAAAGGAAGTCCATTATTAAAGGAAGTCCATTATTAAGGAAGTCCATTATTAAAGACAGTCCATTATTAAAGACAGTCCATTATTAAAGCAGTCCATTATTAAAGACAGTCCATTATTAAAGGCAGTTCATTATTAAAGGAAGTCCGTTATTAAAGGAAGTCCGTTATTAATGGAAGTCTGTTATTAAAAGTGGTCCATTATTAAAGGAACTCCATTATTAAAAGCAGTCCAATAATAAAGGCAGTCCATTAATAAAAGCTAAACTCCATCCATTTATTCAAAAAAGTAAAAACAAAAAAAAATACATGGTTATGTGTCCTTTTTAAAATACATTTAAAGTAGATCTGTGGTCGCAGCACACACTTTCATTCTACAACATCAGCATTGTAATAACAATACAAGCAATAGTTATATCTGACAATCCAATATAAGATTACTTGAACACTCTCCTTTCATGTTGTGAGTGCTGCCTGTCTGCTGGCTGTCTCTTTCCACAACTTCCTGGGTTCCCAGCATGCTCTGCAGCTTCTCCATTTCTAAGAACTACATATCCCATGGTACCTTACTGTGTCCTGTACCGACTAAGCCTCCTGAGACTCCTCCTCTCAGTAGGCGGGCTCTGTGAAATGTGTGACACATCCGTGCCTACTCACAGGGCATTGTAACTATGTATCAATTGAAGTAAAATAGTATTCATTAATACGGCCGGCAGGAACCGGTTCTATTCCGACATGTTTCGTGCCAGGCACAGTGCTTCCTCCAAGAGAGCGTGCTGTGCCTAACCTGAAACATGTCAGAATAGAACCTGTTCCTGCTGGCTGCATTAACCTTGAACCAATGTAACTCTGTATATACAATGCCTGGGGGATCCCTCTGGAAATGACTGTATAGACACCACTACTACACCGCTACTACACAACTACTACAGTGATCTCCACTTGCTTCCGGCTCCCGTACTGAGCGGCTGCCCTGCTGCATTGTGAACACAGGAGATCGACCTCTCGGCACGGGCGCTGTTCAGAGATCGCTTTCCATTGTCTCAAAAGATGCAAAGCATTCCCTGATTGGATGAGGTAGACACCGAGATGTCACCACCCCGCCTCTCACCTCATCCTATCAGAACATTTAGCGTTCATTGAGACAATCTCTCAATGGTACAAGATAAAGCAAGAAAGAAAAGCAAAACCAGCGCTCAGGTCCATAAACGTCCCAGGGACGCGGTAGCGGTCACTCGCTGAGGTGCAGCCCTCTAAAGATCTGGGAATCTTGATAATACCAGAAAAGAGCAAAAAAGGGCGCACTCTCCTCGCTCAGTGCCGTGATAAAGAATTTATGGAGAATGACAAAAGTGTACACTCACAAACCAAAAGTCATAAATAAAAGCAAGGAACCAACGTGGCGGTCCCAGCAAGTGGTGGTCTTGCGACAGGGTGTGCTAACGCGTTTCGGGAGACGAGCTCCCTTCCTCAGAGCTGAAAAGACTAGACATGTTTGAAGCCTATATAGGGGAGCAGGATGAAATGTGAGGACAAAAGGGGCGGGTCCAGACACTTTCCCCCGGACCTTCCAGTCCGGACACTTTCACCCCCTTCCAGTCCGGACACTTTCACCCCTTTCCAGTCCGGACACTTTCACCCCCTTCCAGTCCAGACACTTTCCCCCCCCTTCCAGTCCGGACACTTTCCCCCCTTCCAGTCCAGACACTTCCCCCCCCCCCCTTTCCAATCCGGACACTTTCCCCACCCTTCCAGTCCGGACACTTTCCCCCCCTTCCAGTCCGGACACTTTCACCCCTTTCCAGTCCGGACACTTTCACCCCCCTTCCAGTCCAGACACTTTCCCCCCCCTTCCAGTCCAGACACTTTCCCCCCCCTTCCAGTCCAGACACTTTCAACCCCCCTTCCAGTCCGGACACTTTCACCCCCTTTCCAGTCCGGACACTTTCACCCCCTTTCCAGTCCGGACACTTTCCCCCTTTCCAGTCCAGACACTTTCCCCCCCTTCCAGTCCGGACACTTTCACCGCTTTCCAGTCCGGACACTTTCACCCCCTTCCAGTCCGGACACTTTCACCCCCTTCCAGTCCGGACACTTTCCCCCCTTCCAGTCCAGACACTTTTCCCCCCCTTCCAGTCCGGACACTTTCCCCCCCCCTTCCAGTCCGGACACTTTCCCCCCTTCCAATCCGGACACTTTCCCCCCTTCCAATCCGGACACTTTCCACCCCCCCTTCCAGTCCGGACGCTTTCCACCCCCCTTCCAGTCCGGACGCTTTCCCCCCTTCCAGTCCGGACACTTTCACCCCCTTCCAGTCCGGACGCTTTCCCCCCCCCTTCAGTCCGGACACTTTCCCCCCCTTCCAGTCCGGACACTTTCCCCCCCCTTCCAGTCCGGACACTTCCCCCCCCCTTCCAGTCCGGACACTTTCCCCCCCTTCCAGTCCGGTTACTTCCCCCCCTTCCAGTCCGGACGCTTTCCCCCCCTTCCAGTCCGGACGCTTTCACCCCCTTCCAGTCCGGACGCTTTCCCCCCTTCCAGTCCGGACACTTTCACCCCCTTCCAGTCCGGACACTTTCCCCCCTTCCAGTCCGGACGCTTTCCCTCCCCCCCCTTCCAGTCCGGACGCTTTCACCCCCCTTCCAGTCCGGACACTTTCACCCCCTTCCAGTCCGGACCTTTCCCCCCCTTCCAGTCCGGACACTTTCCCCCCCCTTCCAGTCCGGACACTTTCCCCCCCTTCCAGTCCGGACACTTTCCCCCCCTTCCAGTCCGGACACTTTCCCCCCCTTCCAGTCCGGACACTTTCCCCCCCTTCCAGTCCGGTTACACTTCCCCCCCCCTTCCAGTCCGGTTACACTTCCCCCCCCCTTCCAGTCCGGACACTTCCCCCCCCTTCCAGTCCGGACACTTTTCCCCCCTTCCAGTCCGGACACTTTCCCCCCTTCCAGTCCGGACACTTTCCCCCCTTCCAGTCCGGACACTTTCCCCCCCTTCCAGTCCGGACACTTTCCCCCCCTTCCAGTCCGGACACTTTCACCCCCCCTTCCAAGTCCGGACACTTTCCACCCCCCTTCCAGTCCGGACACTTTCCCCCCTTCCAGTCCGGACACTTTACCCCCTTCCAGTCCGGACACTTTCCCCCCCTTCCAGTCCGGACACTTTCCCCCCCCTTCCAGTCCGGACACTTTTCCCCCCCTTCCAGTCCGGACACTTTCTCCCCCTTCCAGTCCGGACACTTTCTCCCCCTTCCAGTCCGGACACTTTCACCCCCCCCCCCCCGCCCCCCCTCCTACCCAGGCCAATTTTCAGCTTTCAGCGCTATCACACCTTGAATGACAGTTGCGCGGTCAGGCAACACTGTACCCATATGAATTTTTTAGCATTTAAAGCTTTATTTTGGTGGTATTTATTCACCGCTGGGATTTTTATTTTTTTTTTGCTATATAAATGAAAATGTCCAAAAATTTTGAACAAAAAGTGATTCTCCTATAAAATTTTGCAAATAAATAATATTTCATCATAAATCTTTTAATAAAAAAAATAACCCAAATTTATAACCAAGTTTATAACCAAAAATTATAATTTAAAAAAAAAAAAAATTTAAATGTTTATTTTATTTTTTTATATTATTATTTATGTTTTTTTTTTTTACATACTGTCACCCTAGCAGTACAGTGTCACCATGGTGACCCCCCTTTCCCCCAGTACAGACCCCTTAGTGGTTGAACTCCCCCTTCCTCCTAGTACAGACTCCTCAGTAGTAGAACCCCTCATATAGACCTCTCAGTAGTTACCCCCCCCCCGTATAGACCCCTCAGTAGTTAACCCCCCCCGTATAGACCCCTCAGTGGTTAAACCCCCCGTACATAGTGTGTGCTATGAGGACAAGGTGGGTGGGGACAGGGGCAGGATCTATTGTGGTCAGTAGATCCCGCATAGACACGTGTCTGAAAATCAGCCAATGGCAACCATGATACAGGAACCAGGAGCCTCTCATGGGTGTCACCCGGGTGCTGTCCACACCCCCATAGTGATACCACTGCCAACAGTGAATAGGCTGACAAAAGCCCGGGCCCCAGGATGCAATTTGTAGTGGCCCCGGCACCTGGGATTTGTCGAGCCCTGGTAAAACAGACTTGTGTACAATGTGAACCTATGACACCTTGCGAACGCTGTGTCTTGAAAATTCTACATGCAAGAAAAAAAAAATCCACCCCCAACATTAATTTTAAGGAGTTTATCAAAGTTTTTATTGCAGTTTTACCCCCCCCCCCCTCCAATGTATAGGCAACAACGGTGTGAATGTGGAAAATACCTCATTATGGCCACTAGCTGGCGCTGAGTAGTAAGTGCATGCTCCTCAGGTACAATGTGGTATTTTCCCCATTCACACAGCTTTTTTTTTTTTTTTTTTTTTTTTTTTTTAATAAATTACGTTCGATCTACAGAGAATAGAGAACATTCGATTATGCACAGAACTCATTTACATGCTATGCAAATTTTTTATAACTCCACCCCGTAGTTTATCAGCAGATCTTTCACGTAATGTACTTTTTGTTTTCGGTATGACGGTCCAATAAATGCTACAATACATTACTGACCAGTTTTCTTCAAATCTTTAAAAAAAAAAAAAAAAGAAAAGAAATACAAGTGTCCAGCGAATGGCAGAAAAAAGAAAATAAATACAAGTGTCCAGTGATTGGCAATAAATAAATAAATGCAAGTGCCCAGCAATTGGCAAAAATAAACAAATAAATAAATAAATACAAATTTCCAGCGATTGGCAATAAATAAATAAAGAAATAAATACAAGTGTCCAGCGATCGGCAATAAATGAATAAATAAATACAAGTGTCCAGTGCTTAGCAATAAATAAATTAATAAATACAATTGCCCAGTGATTAGCAATAAATAAATTAATAAAAAAAAAAACAAGTGTCCAGTGATTGGCACAAAAAATAAATAAAAAAAAACAAGTGTCCAGTGATTGGCACAAAAAATTAAGTAAATAAATACAAGTTTTCAGCGATTGGCAATAAATAAATAAATAAATAGATAGAAATGTCCAGTGATTACAATAAATAAAATAGATAGATACAAACGTCCACTGATTACAATAAATAAATAGATACAAATGTCCAGTGATTACAATAAATAAATAAATAGATACAAACGTCCAGTGATTACAATAAATAAATAAATAAATAGATACAAATGTCCAGTGATTACAATAAATAAATAAATAGATACAAATGTCCAGTGATTACAATAAATAAATAAATAGATACAAATGTCCAGTGATTACAGTAAATAAATAAATAGATACAAATGTCTAGTGATTACAATAAATAAATAAATAGATACAAATGTCCAGTGATTACAATAAATAAATAAATACAAGTGTCCAGTGATTGGAAAATAAATAAATAAATACAAGTGATTGGCCAAAAAAAGAAAAAAAAATACGAGTGTCCAGCAATTGGCAAAAAAACAAGAAAATTACAAGTGTCCAGTGATTGGCAAAAAAAAAAATTCCCTCTGCCATTTTTACTTCTCAAGATGTACGGAAATTTCTATATTTCTTAGTAAATGCAAATTGCCTACCTGACAAAAGGTGCTGATTGCGTGTTTTTTTTTTTTTATTTTGCGCTATAAAAGGAAGCACAATTAAACCCGCCAATATTTAGCATTTTCTGAATCGGTTGTTAATTTAGAGCCTTCTCCTGTTCCGACAGGTGGTTCAGGATGGCGTTCCCAGCGGAATTTTTTTTTTTTTAGTTTTGTTATTTTACAACAAGGTAGAACCCTCGAAGCCGCCTCTAGGAACCCTGACAAGACGGCTGGGCGTTGCACATCATCCTAACACGAGCCGCCCAAGTGGTGCTTTTAAAGCCGGCGTCACGTGCCGCACTTTTCAGGAAGTACGCGGCGGGCATTTCTCTTCCCGTTTTTTTTTTGCAACCGGTCTTAATGGATCTGTGTGTGCAGCTGGGACGCGGAGCAGATACGCCTCCTACACCAGTCCGTCCGCCGCCAATCCCTTTGCCTCCAAACCTACGCCTCCAATCCCTCGGCCGCCAATCCCTCTTCTGCCGCCAATCCCTCTTCCGCCAATCCCTCTTCTGCCGCCAATCTCTCCACCCCCAATCTCTCCACCCCCAATCCCTCTGCCACCAATCCCTCCGCCGCCAATGCCTCCGCCGCCAATCCCTCTTCCGCCAATCCCTCTTCCGCCAATCCCTCTTCCGCCAATCCCTCTTCTGCCGCCAATCCCTCTTATGTCAATCCCTCCGCCCCCAATCCCTCCGCCACCAATCCCTCCGCCGCCAATGCCTCCACCGCCAATCCCTCCACCGCCAATCTCTCTGCCACCAATCCCTCCGCCCCCAATCCCTTCGCCTCCAATCCCTCCGCCCGATCCCTCCGCCGATCCCTCCTACGCCGATCCCTCCTACGCCGATCCCTCCGCCGCCAATCCCTCTGCCTCCAGTCCCTCTGCCGCCAATCCCTCGTCCGCCAATCCCTCTTCTGCCAATCCCTCTTCCGCCAATCCCTCCGCCACCAATCCCTTAACCTCCAATCCCTTCGCCTCCAATCCCTCCGCCGCCGATCTTTCCGCCTTCAATCCCTCCGCCTCCAATCCCTCTTTCTCCCATCCCTCTGCCTCCAATCCCTCCTACGCCAATCCCTCTGCCTCCAATCCCTCCTACGCCAATCTGTCAGTCTGTTACCCCTATCTGTCCAGAGCCTCTCCTAATTTTCTGGAACTCCCTAGCCCAGTCTGTCCAGAGCCTCTCCCATCATCTGGAACTCCTTATCCCTATCTGTCCAGAGCCTCTCCTAATTTTCTGGAACTCCCTAGCCCAATCTGTCCAGAGCCACATTCTTTGAAACTCCTTACCCCAGTCTGTCCAGAGCTTCTCCTATCCTCTGGAACTCCTTACCTCAATTTGTTCAGTGTCTCTCCCATCCTCTGGAACTCCTTACCCCTATCTGTCCAGAGCTTCTCCTAATTTTCTGGAACTACCTAGCCCAATCTGTCCAGAGCCACTTCCATTTTTGGAACTCCTTACCCCAGTCTGTCTAGAGCCTCTCCCATCATCTGGAACTCCTTACCCCTATCCGTCCAGAGCCTTTCCCATCCTCTGGAACTCCCAAACTCAATCTGTCAAGAAATTCTCCCATCCTCCGGAACTCCCAACTTCAGTCTGTCCAGAGCCTCTCCTAATTTTCTGCAACTCCCTAACCCAATCTGTCCAGTGCCTCTTCCATTCTTTGGAACTCCTTACCCCAATCTGTCAATAGCCTCTCCCATCTTATGGAACTCCCAAACTCAATTTGTCAAGAGCCTCTTCCATCCTCTGGAACTCCCAACCTCTGTCTGCTCAGAGCCTCTCCTAATTTTCTGGAACTCCCTAACCCCATCTGTCCAGAGCCTCTGCCATCCTCTGGAACTCCTTACCCCTATCTGTCCAGAGCCTCTCCAATTCTATGGAACTCTTTACCACAATCTGCCCAGTGCCTCTCCATTCCTCTGGAACTCCTTACTACTATCTGTCCAGAGCCTCTCAAATCCTCTAGAACTCCCAAACTCAATCTGTCCAGAGCCTCTCCATTCCTCTGGAACTTCTTACTGCTATCTGTTCAGAGTCTCTCTAATCCTCTGGAACTCTCAAACTCAATCTATCCAGAGCCTCTCCAATCCTCTGGAACTCCCAACCTCTTCCATTCTTTTGGAACTCCTTACTCCAATCTGTCCAGAGCCTCTCCCATCCTCTGGAAATCACTACCCCAGTCTGTCCAGAGCCTCTCCCGTCCTCTGGAACTGCTTACCTCAATATGTCCAGAGCCTCTCCAACCCTCTGGAACTCCCTACCCCAATCTGTCCAGAGCCTCTCCAATCCTCTGGAACTTCCAAACTCAATCTGTCCAGAGCCTCTCTCATCCTCTGGAACCCCTTACCCCAATCTATCCAGAGCCTCTCCAATACTCTGGAACTCCCAACCTCTTCCATTCTTTTGGAACTCCTTACTCCAATCTGTCCAGAGCCTCTCCCATCCTCTGGAACTCACTACCCCAGTCTGTCCAGAGCCTCTCCCGTCCTCTGGAACTGCTTACCTCAATATGTCCAGAGCCTCTCCAACCCTCTGGAACTCCCTACCCCAATCTGTCCAGAGCCTCTCCAATCCTCTGGAACTTCCAAACTCAATCTGTCCAGAGCCTCTCTCATCCTCTGGAACCCCTTACCCCAATCTATCCAGAGCCTCTCCAATACTCTGGAACTCCCAACCTCTTCCATTCTTTTGGAACTCCTTACTTCAATCTGTCCAGAGCCTCTCCCATCCTCTGGAACTCTCTTCGCACAATCTGTCCAAAGCCTCTCCCATCCGCTGGAACTCTCTATCTCTCTTACTCTGGCCACCTTTAGGAGGACCCTGAAAAACTCATCTCTTCAGAGAAGCCTATCCCACCTCCACCTAACAACTTGACCTTCTTCTATCAGCTCGTCCCTTAGATTGTAAGCTCTTGTGGGCAGGGCCCCTCCTAACGCTGTAGCTGTATGGTCTCCCTTTATGTTGTACAGCGCTGCACAGACTGTTGGCGCCATATAAATCCTGTATCATAATAATCACGGTTCTCTTGTTGTGTCCGCAGGGCAAGAATTGTGAGATCTCCCTGAATGCGTGTTCCAGCAACCCGTGTGAAAATCAGGGCGTATGTCACCCCAAAGACGACGCTAGCGGCTTCATGTGAGTATATCGGGTGGTGTTTGGGGCGAAGACATGGCAGTATTATCCACGGAAGGTTTGTAAATGCCTCTGAAAAGCCATCTGTGGCGGATCGGTCTTCAGATGGTGCTTATGCCAACTTCTGAACTCCTGTCTTTTTTTTACCCCCCCCCCCCCCCCCCCCAGGGAGATCTGTTACCGAGATCTCACCATCCCACAGTGTAGACATTGTTGCGATATTGTTGCGATGTGGTCTCATTGACTTGGATAGGGTGCGGTTGGCAATCCACCGCAACATGCTGCCCGCCGGCCTGAATATTGTCGATTTTAATATTTTCTACTGTTTTTCATTTTTTTTCTTTTTTTTTGGGTTGGGGGGGGGGTTGCAAGTAGCTGGTCTTGCCTAGCACTTATTTTTGCACATTGAAAGAAATGTAGCAGTTTCGTGTTTTGTCGATTTATTATTCTCTACAGTTTTATTATTTGTCGATTTAATATTTTCTACTGTTTTTCATTTTTTTTCTTTTTTTTTGGGTTGGGGGGGGTCGCAATTAGCTGGTCTTGCCTGGGGGCGAAAAAATATTGGTGCTGGTGGCATCTGATGGCACTTACGTTTGTACATTAAAAGAAATGTAGCAGCTTCGTGATTTGTCGATTTAATACTTTCTACAGTTTCATGATTTGTTGATTTAATATTTTCTGCTGGTTTTAATTTTTTTTTCTTTTGGGTTGGGGGGGCGCAAGTAGCTGGTCTTGCCTAGGGCGAAAAAATATTGGTGCTGGTGGCATTTCTTTTTTTCTTTCTTTTTTTTGGGGGGGTCGCAAGTAGCTGGTCTTGCCTGGGGCGAAAAAATATTGGTGCTGGTGGCATCTGATGGCATTTATTTTTGTAGATTAAAAGAAATTTAGCAGTTTTGTGTTTTGTTGATTTTAATATTTTCTACTGTTTTTTTTTTAATTTTTTTGTCTTTTTTTCTTTGGGTTGGGGGGGGGGCGCAAGTAGCTGGTCTTGCCTAGGCCGAAAAAATAGTCCAGCACCGATCGCGACGACTCAAGTCCTACTTTTGCCATCGAATATTCTAAAGCGCTTTTCTTGAACCCAACGCGTCTCGGGGAAGTTTTTTTTACGTTTAGTATGAAGTGTTTCCGTGACGGCGACGCTTTGTGCGGCAGAACGAAACATCCTACCATTGACAGGAGAATGGTCGGGTATCCGCCGCGCGCTCTCTGTACAGCATTTCTTCTCTTCTTGTGGGAAGTTTGTGTAGAGAAGAAAGGCGAAGGTTCTCGTCCTCCGGAAGGCGGCGCGGCGTACATTAGATAATGAGAGCTGCACTTTTGTTGTGTTTGCAGATATTATTGTCGAGGATTTTTTTTTTTGTCTGCAGGTGCATTTAAAATAGATTCGCTCTGGCTGCGGGGCTTTGCAGATCGTCTTCTCCCGAGTTTCTATGGAAACATTTAAAGTTAGTCTCCGGTTCGAGCTCCTCTAAATATGGCGGTGTCGTCTGCAAACAGCTTGCTAAACGAGTGATTGTGACAACGTGACCCCCCCCCCCTGGCTTTACAGTTCGTAGTAGGGGAGCTTTTTATCTGTGTGCTTGTTACCTAGTGCTGGACTTTCTAAAGACACAATGTTTTTCTGAGAGGCGTATCTATGTAGACATTACCTAGTGCTGGACATTCTAAAAAAAAAAAAAATATCTGGAAGCCTTGTTTATTTGAGTACGTTACCTAGTACTGGACTTTCTAAAGAAACAATGTTTCTGGGAGGCGTATCTGTGTAGATGTTACCTAGTGCTGGACTTTCTAAAGAAACAATGTTTCTGGGAGGCTTATCTGTGTACATGTTACCTAGTGCTGGACGTTCTAAAAAAAAAAAAATGTATCTGGAAGCCTTGTTTATCTGAGTACGTTACCTGGTGCTGGACTTTCCAAAGAAACAATGTTTCTGGGGGGCTTATCTGTGTAGATGTTACCTAGTGCTGGACTTTCTAAAGAAACAATGTTTCTGGGAGGCTTATGTGTAGATGTTACCTAGTGCTAGACTTTCTAAAGAAACAATGTTTCTGGGAGGCTTATCTGTGTAGATATTATCTAGCGCTGGACTTTCTAAAGAAACAATGTTTCTGGGAGGCGTATCTGTGTAGATGTTACCTAGTGCTGGACTTTCTAAAAAAAAAAAATATCTGGAAGCCATGTTTATTTGAGTATGTTACCTAGTGCTGGACTTTCCAAAGAAACAATGTTTCTGGGAGGCTTATCTGTGTAGACGTTACCTAGTGCTGGACTTTCTAAAGAGAATGTTTCTGGGAGGCTTATCTGTGTAGATGTTACCTAGTGCTGGACTTTCTAAAGAGAATGTTTCTGGGAGGCTTATCTGTGTAGATGTTACCTAATGCTGGACTTTCTAAAGAAACAATGTTTCTGGGAGGCTTATCTGTGTAGATATTATCTAGCGCTGGACTTTCTAAAGAAACAATGTTTCTGGGAGGCATATCTGTGTAGATGTTACCTAGTGCTGGACTTTCTAAAAAAAAAAAATATCTGGAAGCCATGTTTATTTGAGTATGTTACCTAGTGCTGGACTTTCTAAAGAAACAATGTTTCTGGGAGGCTTATCTGTGTAGACGTTACCTAGTGCTGGACTTTCTAAAGAGAATGTTTCTGGGAGGCTTATCTGTGTAGATGTTACCTAGTGCTGGACTTTCTAAAGAAACAATGTTTCTGGGAGGCTTATCTGTGTAGATGTTACCTAGTGCTGGACTTTCCAAAGAAACTAGTGCTTACCTGTGTAGTTACCTAGATGTTACCTAGTTTGGACTTTCCAAAGAAACAATGTTTTTCTGGGAGGCTTATCTGTATAGATGTTACCTAGTGCTGGACTTTCTAAAGAAACAATGTTTCTGGGAGGCTTACCTGTGTAGATGTTACCTAGTGCTGGACTCTAGCGATGGACTAGTTCTAAAGAAACAATGTTTCTGGGAGGCATATCTGTGTAGATGTTTATTTAGTGTAATATTACCTAGTGCTGGACTTTCTAAAAAAAATAATTTATCTGGAAGTCTTGTTTATCTGAGTACGTTACCTAGTGCTGGACTTTCTAAAGAAACAATGTTTCTGGGAGGCTTATCTGTGTAGATGTTACCTAGTGCTGGACTTTCTAAAGAGAATTTTCTGGGAGGCTTATCTGTGTAGATGTTACCTAGTGCTGGACTTTCTAAAGAAACAATGTTTCTGGGAGGCGTATCTGCGTAGATGTTACCTAATGCTGGACTTTCTAAAGAAACAATGTTTCTGGGAGGCTTACCTGAGTAGGTGTCACCTAGTGCTGGACTTTCTAAAGAAACAATGTTTTTGGGAGGCGTATCTGTGTAGATGTTATCTAGCACTGGACTTTCTAAAGAAACAATGTTTCTGGAGGCGTATCTGTGTAGATTTTAATTAAGGCTGGACTTTCTAAAAAAACAATGTTTCTGGGAGGCTTATTTGTGTGCTTGTTACCTAGTGCTGGACTTTCTAAAGAAACAATGTTTCTGGGAAGCTTATCTGTGTAGATGTTACCTAGTGCTGGACTTTCTAAAGAAACAATGTTTCTGGAGGCGCTTATCTATGTAGACATTTACCTAGTGCTGGACTTTCTAAAAAAAAAAATATCTGGAAGCCATGTTTATTTGAGTATGTTACCTAGTGCTGGACTTTCTAAAGAAACAATGTTTCTGGGAGCCATGCTTATCTGTGTAGGTGTTACCTAGTGCTGGACTTTCTAAAGAAACAATGTTTCTGGGAGGCATATCTGTGTAGATGTTCACCTAGTGCTGGACTTTCTAAAGAAACAATGTTTTTGGGAGGCATATCTGTGTAGATTTTACCTATGCTGGACTTTCTAAAGAAACAATGTTTCTGGGAGGCATATCTGTGTAGATGTTACCTAATGCTGGACTTTCTAAAAAAACAATGTTTCTGGGAGGCTTATCTGTGTAGATGTTACCTAGTGCTGGACTTTCTAGAGAAACAATGTTTCTGGGAGGCTTATCTGTGTACATGTTACCTAGTGCTAGACTTTTTGGAGAAACAATGTTTCTGTAAGGCTTGTCTGAGTACATGTTATCTAGTGCTGGACTTTCTAAAGAAGGCCAGTTATAAGAGGGTGTGCACACTTATGCAACCACATTATTTTAGTGTTTTGTTTACTCCCCCCCCCTAAAAGATTTCAGTTTGTTTTTCAATTGAGTTGTACAGTTTATAGGTCACATTAAAGGTGGAAAAAGTTCTGAAATTATTTATCTGCGAACCCTTTTTGCACATATGCATTACATGGGCAGCAAGAGGTTAATAGATTATCCAAAAAGAAAGACATTATATGGTTCAGGTCTTACAAGTTCTCTGAAACCAACGCGTTTCACCCGACACATGAAACGCGTTGGATTTGTAAAGGATAGACTAGTCTGTAATGTTGGGCTATTGAATGAACAGATTTAATTTTTTTTTTTTCTCTGGTTGAACTGGATGGACTTTTGTATTTTTTCAGCCAGACTAACTATGTAACTATGTAACGCGTTTAATACAGTGAGCTTTTCCTTTTCTTTTTCTGGGCTTGCTGCAGAATCTGTTTTAGTGGCCGATGACCACCAGGAACCTGCTCCTGAGAGTGTGGCGACTTGAGTGGAGCATTTCCTTTCTTCCTGTCCTCGAGGAACTTGCATTCTAAGGTCCAGTTAACCTACCAGCATGTCTTTGGAGTTTTGGGAGGAAACTGGAGTTCCTGCAGGAAAACAATCCCAGACCGGGATTCCAACTGGGGACCCCAGTGCTGCCCGTATTATGAGATTTCCTGCTCAGGTGACAACCAGACTTCTCACTTTTTGACCTTGCCATAACTGTCATTGCGCCAGAAAGCCAAAAACACTCCCCAGAAAAATAAAACCTGAAATCAATCTTCCCACTTAAAGCCAACCCCTTGGCTGCTTTAAAAAATGGGATGAGTTTTTTTTTTCTCGTTGTCATACCTGTAGGTTATG